TGCCCACCGCGCTGCTTCTTCTCTTGTGCAGTCCGAAAGGCGCTCCAACCACGCTCGGAAGCCCTTCCTGAAGTTTGGGTTAGAGCTCAACACACTCAGAGCACAGGCAAACCACTGCTCTTACAAGCAGTCGAACCCTGCAGAGCTTCAACACTGACAGACACAAGGCAGACGCTGGCAGGCAAAGAAAAACAAAAGCCCAGGGGAAATACGAAGATAACCCTTCCTCTCCCAAAGCAAACGCTCGGTTCCCACGGATCACACTGCTTGGTCAAGACAGGCAGATACGGAACCAGATCCAGGACCCGTCCTCAGCCCCACATCCCGAAAGGGAAAAGCTGACAGTGAGGAGTAAGTTCCAGATCACCTTCTGGCCAAAGGGACAAGTCACAGTCTGGAAGGAAACATCCAAGCACAGTGCTTCCATTTCTGTAACTGTGGAGAAATGTACCTTTTTCCACTTAAAATCATTTCACCTTCCCACAAAGCGCTTCCACCTAGTAGCAAGTGGCATTCATTAAAGCACTTGTTTGCATTACTTAGTTTAATACTCATGATTCTACACAACCCTATGGGGCAGGGAGCTGGAGAAGGAAGTTTTATTGGGAGCATCTGTGAAACACTAGCGAGCTGGGAAGGGGCAGGGAAGGCCACCCAGAGCCTGGGCTGAAGGCCGGGCAGTGTCAGGCCCTTCACTAGCTGGTCTCCTGCTCCTTCCACAGCCCAGAGAAGGTGCCACGGCCTCTGTGTCCCAGACGGGCTGCCTGAGGCTTAGTTACATAGCAGCCAAAATCTACATGGCACCAACATCCTATAAAATCCCCTCTAACGAGCCCATTAGTCCAGGAAACACAAACCTAATCGGTACAATAAGGGCAGAAGTAACAGTATCTGCAAAGCAGGAAATGACAAATAAGAAGCATACATTTTTCTTAAGTCATACTGCAGCTTTTCAAATAAGAACAATTTTGCTTGCACACAAACATTCACCTATAACAGTTCTACGTATGTTATACATTCTCAGATCATAAAACATAAAATTAGAAATAGGAAAGCAAGATTCAACCAATCACTTGCAAGCTCAAATATTCTTTTGTAGTAAAACATCGGTTGGAAGAAATTTAAAAAAAAAAAAACAAAGTCACTAAGGATATTTTTAACATTGAAAATATAAGTAAATGGTATTCTACCAAAGCCTCGCTGAAAAGAAAATGTATTCTTCTCTATACCAATATAAGCAAAAATAATGAATAAAGTCTTTATCTAAAGACTCTTGAAACAATGCAAAAAAACAAAAAGTAAACAAAAAATATAACCTATTACCGAAACCATAAACAGGCTAACAAAAAAAAAAAAACCAGAAAGTAGTTATGAAATTTTCCTCTTCCCCAAGTCTATATAAATATGCCTGAGTATTTTTTCTAAATTTTCATATAAACAATCTATTTAAAAAAAAAAAAAAGTTATATTCCTAAGCTCATTTTACTTGAGCCAAAAAAAAGAACATTTAAAAAGAAAATTATACTCAAATCTTAATGAAATCCTAAGCAAGCAATGAAAACCCCACAAAAAGAGTATCTACTATGAATAAGCAGGATTTAAACTGAGAACTCTGGTTTGGAATAAGCCATGGAAAACTATCCACTTGAAAAGATATTCTCGATCATATAACTGATATCCTAAAATGGCATTCAAAAATTGAACATCTTTATTAGTACTCTCATTTATATGAGCACTAAAGAGCAACTGGTAACAGATACAGCAAAATAAGTTTTTTTTGGGAGGTGAGATTAGGTGTGATTTTTATATCTCTTCTTTTCAGAAGGTCCAAAAGTCAACGTGAAATGGCCACCCATCTGATGCCAGGACAGTCAGGCCCACCCCAGGACAAACGGACAGGAACCCTTCTTGGCCAACAGTTAGGGCAACTCTCATGTGTGCCTGCCAGGAATGCCCAGGGAGAGAGCTGCCCAGCCATCCTCCAGAGCAGGTGACACTGAGGCCCAGAAAGGCTCCTATCACCGGTAGGTGAGAGGGCTGGGCCTACAGGGATAGACGAAACATAGATCAAGGCAGGGGACATTAGCTGCCCACCTGCAGAGTTTGCTACCAACCAATCCTGGGCTCTATGACTGGTTAAAAGAAATCACAAAGCTCTATCTTCATTGTGCCAAGTAAGCTAACATCTATTTAATGTCTTAAATTTCTTATTATCTTGAAAACAGAAAGGTGACCATAAATATATGTCATTCCACTGAATGTAGATCCAGCATTACAGCATTTAAACTTCGTGTCAGTGCAACTGAACAAAGAACACAGCAACCTCTCCTCTCGAACCCTTGACTCTCATACATCCTCAGCTTCCAACATCCACTTCTGCTTCAACTAAGTCCGTCACAAGGGAAAGCTATTTTGATCATGTACATCATGCATTTCTTTGTGGGCAAACAGTTTTGGAGCAGCCATCCTACCAGGACAATTGCATAGAGCTCAGGAATGATCAGCTATAAAAATTTACTTCTATGTGCCCCAGGTAGCAGAACTTCAACTGCGGGTCTCAAAAAATAACAGTTTTAAAGTTGAAAACCCTTACAATTCCATATTTATTATGACCATTATAAAACAAATTATCATTCCAACATTAACTATTTTGTTTATATTAAACTTTTTTTTTTTTTTTTTTTTTGAGATCAGTTGTAATGTCTCCCTTTTAATCTCTGACTGAGTGCCGTGGCGTCAGCCTAGCTCACAGCAACCTCAAACTCCTGGGCTCCAGCGATCCTTCTGCCTCAGCCTCCCGAGTAGCTGGGACTACAGGCATGAGCCACCATGCCCGGCTAATTTTTTACATATATATCAGTTGGCCAATTAATTTCTTTTCTATTTATAGTAGAGACGGGGTCTCGCTCTTGCTCAGGCTGGTTTTGAACTCCTGACCTTGAGCAATCCGCCCGCCTCGGCCTCCCAAGAGCTAGGATTACAGGCGTGAGCCACCGCACCCGGCCTATATTAAACTTTTAAATTGCGATTAATAATTATCTTGATCAATGCCAATAATCAATGGTCGCTAATTAGCAATTTAAAGAATGCATAGGTAGATGGGGAGATAACCCTGTCACTGTTCAGGAAGAACCAAATACCAGTAGTATGAACAGGCTTAAGTTAATATACAAATTTTCTACAGTATAAAAATTCATGAAGATCACTTTAGAGAGTATGAAAAGCAATAGAAAAATCCATCTAGAAAATAAGCAGGCGGTGAAACTAAAGAATCTACTAATTTTATGTAGTTCCAGAAATTAAAATGTCCTGCTAAGAAGCTATTGTCCAAATGGATCACCTCCTTTCCATCTCTGGCAGATTTCTAGGCTGGCAGATCAGAAAATTTCTGGAGCCATCACGAAGCTGGATTTCCACAAGGCATTTGGCATAAACGTGCACAACACGGTTATGAATCAGACAGGAATAAAGGCTGGGTGACAGTACAACAAAGGGGGTGCCACTTGAAGAATGTGCCCAAAGAGCTTAGAATAATTAAAGAACATCTCCCCCTAAAACTCTGAGTCCCAGAAAAAAAGGCCCCATTCTTGTTACTTACCAGATATCTTGTATTAACTACCTCAATGAAGGCTTTAATGGCATGCAAATCATAACTAACACAGAGAAATGCCGGGAGGAAATTTAACAGCAATGTACTAAAACGCCTCATAGGACATCTCTTCCTAGACTATGATCCCCCTCACTCTGACAGGTTGCTCTAAATAAAGAAGTCAGCCGGCTGCTTCTACTTCAGCACACTTCTTTTATGACGGGAAATAAACATATGCAAGAAGAGTCTGGCTGTCTGGTGACACGGCAGCCATAATTAGCAGAAGGCGAGGGTGCACAGCATGGCATCTTACTCGTGAAAGGTTACTGAGCCCTGAGATTTGTGTGGGTGTGATATATACAGCAATGTAATTTGTAGCTTAGGTAAAGGACCGGAGAAACACAGACATCTCCCTCAATCTATTTCACTTGGTAACATACCCATTTAAGATTAGAGGGACCAAGTCCTTTCTTATCGCTTGTATGAGCAAATTTCTCTGGCTTTCTCACTTTTCTTCTTAATCTAAAACATCTGCCCATAATCAATAGTTTTTCTTAAAATGGCAAAAGAAATTTTCCTGGAGATTAGTTTTCTGAAATTAGAACAGCAAGGAACAGTCAATACCACACTGCTGGCAGTGATGGAAATGTAATTCGACGCACACAGAAATCAATATGCGCCAATTCTATAAATACTGCAGGCGTCCTGTAATTTGCTATTTACAGAAATTTAGCTTTGGGAAATCATCTCAAGGAATAAAAACACTATAAGCACAAAGGTGTAGTATTTACATTAATGCCAACTCAAAACACCCAAAGAAAGGTTAACCAAACTACGGTACACCTGCTACCTGAAATAGTATACACTCAGAAATTATAAACATGAAGACTATAAAACATAGAAGACTCAACTTGCTATAAATATAGTTTTTATAAAAAAAATTTCATCTGTAGATTGATGATGAACGCATTCCCAGGGTCTGGATGTCAGAGGCAAAGAATCTGACCTGTTGGGGTTTCGGGATTGTAAGTCACTTCTCTCCTTCTTTAACGGAGAGGCTGGTATTACTGCTGTATTGCAAGAGGAGAAAAAAAGAAAACTGAAAATAAAATGAAGTCACACAGTAGCCTATGATGCCTTCATAACTGGATGAAATTCATCTTGGTAGTCTACAGACACTAAACAGGTGTTATTTCAAATATTTACTCTCATACTGATGAATACTTGGAACCCAAAAAACATTTTCCACTGTTAGATGGTGAAAGAGTTCTCAATCCAACCCTGAAAAGCTCATTTCACCACAACGAAGCTTAATAACAGTATGAACAAGACCTAACTACTATTTATAGTTTCATTTCTTCCGAAAAGTATATCGTGAAGCCCAATTCAAAGTCCCCAGTGCTCATTTCACCTCTTCAGAGACTCCTAAGGCTGCTCTTTGGCATTGAGAATACAGGCAGGTGATCAGGGGTCAGTCGGTCAAGGGTTCTGGAGGTTGAAGCACCTGGAAGCAGGAAAAACGGACCAATGTGGGGAACCCAGCAGCAGAGGTTACCATGGCAGCGGGGACTGGCCTGGGAGTTCCCAGAATGCCTCCAGCAGCACAGGGCGGGGGAGGAAGGTCCTGGCCGAGATGTCTGTCTACTCTCTGCTCTTAGGGAGGCTGGGTGTCGGTGGGCACAGAGCCAGGGGCAGGTCTGGGGAGGTTGTGGGAGGCAGAGCTCTACATCTAGAGTACTCATAACTGCTATTCTGGAGTGAAGGGCTACGTCACTGCTTTTAATGTAAAAAAAAAAATAAGAAGAAGAAAGAAAATCAGCCACACGCAGTGGCTCATGCCTGTAATCCCTGTGCTTTGGGAGACCAAAGCAGGATGATCACTTGAAGCCGGGAGTTTGACACCAGCCTGAGCAACACAGCAAGACCCCATCTCTACAAAAATTATTTTCAAAAAATTAGCGGGGCATAGTGGCATGCTCCTGCAGTCCCAGCTACTAGGGAGGCTGAGGTGGGTGGAGTGACTGAGGCCAGGAGTTCGAAGCCACAGCGAGCTAGGATAAGGCCGCTGTACTTTGGCTTGGGCAACAGAGCAAGACTCTGTCTCTAAAGGGGAAAAAGAAAAGAAAACTGCAGAAACCATAGTTCATAGATCTGCTTGGAATACCATATGATGCTTGTTACCTATCTATTACCAGGCTGGGAAAGAAATGGGCTCTGCGAATTACCTATCGGTTCAACCTTGATTTTGCTTCTAATAAATTTGAGAGACAGAAAACAGTACAAAATAAACACAGAGTTAAAGACCTTAGGTAGGAGCTTCTTCAAACATTGATTTATAATGAATATACCTCTAGCAAGAATAGCCTAAGAAAAAGTGAATTTTTTCAGAGTATTACCATTTCTGAAGGTCATGTAGAGGTACACCATAGGAATAGAATTCATTTTAAAAGGCTTGCACAGTAATTGTTCCAATGTCAACCCAAAATAACCTTGCAGAAAAGGAGAAAAATGTTAAATATTTTTAAAAGAAAATGACAAAGAAGTGGGAATCGCTTTAATCCTACTACCATTATAATTCTTCAGCAGATCAGCTCAAAAAGAGACAAGTTAATATAAAGCTATTACAGACAGGGTAAAGAAAACCAAAGGCACAAGGACATGGGGGAACAAAAGTGTTAACAGCAAAGGACAGAGAGGGGACAAATTTTAGTCACTAAATAGACATTTCTAGTAAAGGAAACACTGATAATGTGAAGACAAAACTTACATGAAAAAGATAAAAGTAATTACTTTTTAGTAAGAATCACCCACAAGATTTTTGTTAACAGAAATCATAACTATCAACTGTTGCTTCTGAAATTGTGATAATACACTAACTACATTTGAAATCTTTCCTGGGGAACTGAAAATAAAAATGTAAAATATATTATATTCTTAGGCTTCGAACTAGTTTTTAAATTGAAAATTCAACTATGCCCAACTTGAGAAGTCTCTGTAAATGCACGGTAATAATGAGTAAACACCCTCCCTATTGAATATGTATTTAATTTGAATACACACTGGGTTGGTTGGGGAATTTCTATTCCTATAATTTACATAATCTGGCTGCCTGATTTATCATTTACTCAAATCCTTTTCTGTACAGCTTATTATAATACCAGGTTTCTTTTTCTTTTTTTTTACTCACCCAGTAGCCCAAGATGAATATAATACCAGGTTTCTTAACAGAATATTTAATCATCCTCTCATCACCAAAACTGTTACTATTTGCCTGTGACCATGACCAAGGTGTGACATAGAAAATGAAAAGGTGTCTTCTGTGGACTTGGCCTGAAAAAGACCATGGTAATTTAGGTAGACAAAGGATATGTCTTAGAATTAAAGACCTTAAATACATTGAAAATGCTTTCCCTGCACTGTTGCATGATGACAAAAAAAAAAAAAAAGTTGCTCTTTTCTAACCAGCACAGCCTTAAGAAGCCTGCCTAGGCTGCCTGATCTACTTAAAGCCCTGCAAAAAGCAAAAGTGTAAGCACTTGGCCACTGTGCACGCCTTCACTTTACTCCTGGTTAACAAAAATGTCCCTATCAGAAAGCATCCATCAAGCCACCTGGCCCAGGTCATTCCCTGGGACATCAAGGCAAGTGGCCCAACATCACAGGACAGGTAGAAGAGGAAGTGCTCTCTCTCCCGCCCTGTGGCCAAGGACAATGGAAGCCAATGGAGGCCTGACACCTGCCGAGCTGGCAAGCTTCCCCGAGCCTTATCGGTTTGCCACCAACCCGGAGTTGCAACCTCAGAAACATCCTGGTGCTAGAAGCCAAGGATTGTCCTCACCACACATAAGGTCCATCTCTGTCAATCAGAGGATGAGTCTGGGCGCACCTGGTGTGTCCTGGCTATCCAGGACACGGATTCCTGTTTCACACCACAAACAGCTTGGGAGGGGGACCACTCAGGGACCCAACAGGGTCCTTCCAGGGCAGCAACTGCAGACAGCTCAGCCTCCACCTTCCTCAGAGCCACAACGAGGGCCTGCACGGGCCCTCTGGTCAACCTGGACAGCTCAGAAAGCAGTCAGAGCCCAAAGGCATTTCTTTATGCCTTTAAGATATCGTACCCTCGCCTTCACATCTAGAAACTTCATTCTTTCAAGAAATATTTATGGAGCCGTCTTTCAATTTTTTTTTTTTTTTTTTTTTTTTTTTATATGACTCTCGCTTTTTTTTTTTTTTTTTTTTTTTGGAGTTTGACAAATCTATTGGTATTTTAGTAAAGATATTCATCTCAGTCATTTCTCTCTCTCATCTTGACCTTAGGTTAATATTTCATTTGGGTCAAGAAAAGAATATGAGGTCAGGTGCGGTGGCTCACGCCTGTAATCCTAGCACTCTGGGAGGCCTAGGTGGGCGGACTGCTCGAGGTCAGGAGTTTGAAACCAGCCTGAGCAAGAGCGAGACCCCGTCTCTACTATAAATAGAAAGAAATTAATTGGCCAACTAATTATATAGAAAAAATTAGCCGGACATGGTGGCACATGCCTGTAGTCCCAGCTACTTGGGAGGCTGAGGCAGGAGGATTGCTTGAGCCCCAGAGTTGGAGGTTCTGTGAGCTAGGCTGACGCCACAGCACTCACTCTAGCCTGGGCAACAAAGCGAGACTCTGTCTTAAAAAAAAAGAAAAGAATATGTAGAGAGGGATGTTATTTTAACAAACAGTAAATGGGCAAAAATGAGAAGTTTGCCTACCTTAAAGTAAGTTAAAGTTAAATTCATGTATCTTGATAAAATTAAATGATGTTTCCATTGATGTTTCCTTTGTTCTTACAAAGACTGCTCTGGAGGTTTGGGACAAGCTGTGAATGACGAGTTGCTGCCCACATGGGTGTTGCTGGAACTCGAAAGACATCCCCCAGCCAAATAGGCCACACACCCGAAGGGTGACCAACGGCCACAGCCACGTGCACTCTGGCAGCGCAGCCAGCCCACGTTCCACACAGCAAACGTGGCGCCCACGCCAAGAAATTTTAGAGCTTTGAGAATATTTCCTCTGACAAGCTAGAATAGCAAATTTGAACGCTCTTTCACAGGACTTTCATTTTCTTTATCTCAAGTCACAAATAATCATCTTAATGATTTGACTAATCCCAAAGAAGGTTCAATGTACATATTCATGTCATATTTGATGACATGTTTACATAAAGGTTAAAAGGCGCAGATAAAAACTGGAACAAGACTCTGGTCATGGAAATTCCATCGACAGAGGAGCATGGAATTGACAACTAATTTTACATTTCCCATCAGCTCTCTATTAGATATTTCAACAGCCACATGGTTTTTCTAACTATAATCTTCAGGTCCAAGTGATAATCCACCTGACAGCCCAGATTAAAATGTTTCAACTCAATACAGCCATGTCCTCCCCTACTGAAAGCCCTTCAATCTCTCCATAACATACAAAATTGATAAATTCTTTAGCTGACATTCAAGACCCCATAAATAACACAAACTTACCTTTCAGACTTTCTCTACTTATCCTCAGGATGCACAACCTCCTTTCCTTACCTCTGCCTACCCCAAATCTCCACCTGGCAATATTTTGTTCTTTTGTCAAAGATTATCTCCAATGCCATGAAATCCTGTTCCCCTCCATTTGAGAGCTCAGAGCATCTTGTGTTTCTTTCTGGTGTTTATTGCATGATGCCTACATAATACGATAATATCTATACTCTTTAAGATTATCACATTACACTATAGACGTTGGAATATATGATGTGTTGAAAGAACCATCACAAAAGTAAAGCTTACAGAAAGACATCTATCTGCATGGGAGGAGATACAATTAAATGAGTGCAATATTTTGGAAAGGTATATAGTTTCCAGTCCAAAATTATGAATGAGCTTCGGAAAATGGTATAGCATACCCCAAAAAAATTAAACAAAGAATTCACCGTATGATCCAGTAATTCCACTTCTGTGTATAAAACGTACCAAAGAAGTGAAAGTAGGGATTTAAAGAGATATTTGTACACCATGTTCATAACATCTTTACTCACAATAGCCAAAAGGTAGAAGCAACCAAGTTGTCCATCAGTAGATGAATGATAAAAACAAGTGATGTGTACATTCAATGGAATTTATCCAGTCTTAGAAAAAATTCTGACACGTCTACAACCATGGGATAAAAGCATGAAAGATTATTGCAAGTGAAATATACCAGCCACAAAGGACAAGTATTACATGACTCTTCTTACATGAAGTATCAAGAGTAGGCAAATCAGAGAGAGAAAAAGTAGGATAGTGGTTGCAGGGAATAAGGGTGAGGGAGAATGGGGAATTAGTGTTTCACAGTAGAGTTTCGTTTGGAGAAGATGAAAAAGTTCTGAGACGAATGTAGTGACAGCTGCACAATGGATGTTAAATACATACTTAATGCCACTGAACTGTACCCTTGAAAACAGTTAAAATGCTACTCTCATGTATTTTTTACCAATATAGCAAAAAGAGATGACTGAATAAATGTCAGAGAATCAAAGGCATCTGGATGTATTAAAAGGGCCTGAAGGAATATATACAGCTTTCAAGGAATGGATATCCACAAGAAAGGTACAATCAT